TGGATATTCAGGCGGTCAACACGGCCACTACGTCCAACACGATCGTGTTCTCGCTTCCCTTCGGCATGATTTCAGCCGCTGGCACAGGCACTGTTTTAACGACGGCCTTGGGTACGATAAACACCCCGACGAATTTCAACGCAGCGGTCCCCAAGAGCTTCACTTCACTGCTGGCAAGACGATCATATGCTACCCCCGCCTTGTCCGTATCTGTGTTGATTGTGTCCGCCCACTGATCGCGAAATGTTGTTATATTTCTTTGGAAACGAAAAGGGTAGCCGGAATTTTCGCATTTGTGCATGGATGTGGGTAGGAGAACCAACACGCAGGGGTGAAAGCGAGCAAGATGACACTGCGTGGAGCACGGAACTCGTTGTTGCGGGAGAAGGATAGGCCTGAACGTGGGCCTCGAGCTGGTCAACACACCAAGTCCACGTTCGCTGCATATGTAGCGCGAGCCTGGCCTGTAGAAGTCCGAATGGTGTCCGAGATCTCACGCAGGTGAGACCGGGAGGGTGGTAAACTATTCTTGAATAAATCTTTCGCATAAAAAATCAACTCAGGTACCCGCTTTGACATACGCGGCAACTCGGCTGATTGATATTGAATGAACCTCATCATAGCTTTACCGGGTATGCACATGGAGAGCAAGCGTCATGCGCGAAAATTCAGTAAATACGAGCAGCGCGTAAGATGGACCAGAACGAGGCCCGGACGCGGGGCCCTCGCTGTAAGATCCGCATGAATCGGAAAGTGCGCGTTTGGACGACCTACCAATAGGAGGCGACCTTATTTCACAGGTTTGGATGCCCTGACCATTCCAGATACGATGAAGGTGAGACTCAATAAGACTAAGAGCGTTGATTTGTGTCAACATGCTGAAAACTTCGAGAATGAGAATTCAAATAAAGTCCCTCTATCCACCAACAGATCAACGGGTTTGAAAATAACTCTACCTAGATCATCCTAGGCTTCACGATGACGTAGTAACGCGCCTGCATCAAATCTCAGTGTTTGAGCCCTCTTGCCAATCAACTCCATTCCTCATAGTTTGAGAGATTCAATTGGACCGGGGTTCTAAAGAGACGCGTTGTAATATATCAATCGTCGAGACTACTCGCCGGAATGCCATCTCATCCAGAATAGGCTGGACTGAAAGCTATTCCGTCGAAATGGAAGGTAAGCGGGCGCAGAGCGGTCTGGATGATTCTAACATCCAGAACAGTATACGGCAGGCAAGAAATTTGGACCCCAAAATCCAGGCGGGAGAACCGAACAACCCATCCATATTTCGTATAAAGGCGAGAGGGTATTCCATCTTTCCTCAGTTCACCTCGAGCTACTCTCCCTTCACCTACTTCCCTGAATTTTCAATGCTCTTCATCCTCACCTCCCTCACTGTGCTGCTCACTGTTGCTATGGGCAGCGTGCGAGCTGAGACCCACACGGTCCATTTCACTAATCTGTAAGCAGTATCGCATCTTACTGGACTATGTTGCTGATTTAGAGTGTTAGGTGTGGCGGGGGAACGGTTCGCCTTGGCTGCCTAGTCACAGGAGATATCCTTGACTCTGATTGAATACGTAGCCAATGTTGATTCAAGGCCCCAACGTCCTTTCAACTGGAGGTTAGTGCGAGGATTACAGGCACCATGTCTCATCTATTGATCTCTTCGGTTTACAGGAGGTACCTCTGATCATACTGTGAACACGCAGTAGCCTTGACGCCCCACTCAGACTACACAATCAATGGTCCCCTCATCAGCGCCATTTCGTATCTTCAGACCGGTCAGATGTGTCACTGGGCAAAATAATTGGAAATCTGACTTGAGCTTACAGGCGGATGCGGCTTCAACGGCGAAGGATGCACCCTTGTCGAGACCACACTCAACAACGTCGGGTCCAGCACCGATCTCTCTTTGATCCCGCCGTCAGTATTTTTCGGCTTCCAACGAGTCCAACGTTCACACCTACTCATTTAGCCACGCGTTCTCTGTCACATCTGGTTTCGGGTAGGCCTTCATCACCGGATGCATGAGTGATATTAAACTCATGTGATACAGTTATTACAACGGCTGCGACGGTGCTGGCGCGGATTGTGAGAAATATGATATGAGGATGCATCTATTGATGACTGAAGAAGAGTACAGGCACCGAGCCCGACTGCCCCCCGGCTTTCGAGGATCCCAGCCAGACGTACAAGCAAGTCGGCTGCTCCGCGGCGAATGTGAACCTCGCAGTAATATAAATCCAGTCGTCCGGGTCCGCAACAGCTGATTGTTATTTGCACGTTAGATCACCTTCTGCGACTGAAATGATGGGAATCAAATTTTTGAGCGAAAGAAACGTGTATAGCCGCAGGAAATTCGTTTCGGCGGCGAAGTCAATTAAATTGTATTTGTGAACTGTTGTTAACCATACTGTCAAACTTTGCCGTACAAAAAGTTTGAATCCGGTATGAGATCACAAATAAGGCCCTGAGGCGGATAGTTGGTAAAAACCTCAACGGGGAGGCTTCGAAAGCGCCTCTGGAAAAACAACTTTCAATCGCCGTACATGCTGAAGAAGTTCAAGAGATCTCATTATTCATATGCGGATGATCCTTTCGGCACGTGGAAAAGAGAATTGGGCTGAATTTTCCTTGGGACGCCATGGAGTGGTGATGGCATTTTCCGTGCCCAGGGCCTCTTACTTGCGGCAGAATCGAGAGCAAGCCGCGTGCGGATCAAATCCCGAATTGTCCTTGTTTGTCCGGTGGCACGGTCACACCGCTTCCGTTAGACCTCTGACGGACTGACTCTTGACTCTCGTCGAAATGGCTGGCGCATCACGCATGGAGCTCTTGCAATGGCTCAATGACCTCCTCGCGCTCAATTACACCAAGGTGGAACAGTGCGGCTCGGGTGGTGCATACCTACAGATCCTTGACTCTATCTACGGCGACATCCCGATGGCGCGCGTCAAAATGGGCGCGAAGCAGGAGTATGAATATCTGGTGAGAGAGAATCGATGCGTGATGCGCGTTGCAATGTTTATCGAAGTTGTCAGATAAACTACAAGATAATGCAGAACGTTTTCAAGACCAAGAAGATTGATAAGCCTATCCCAGTGGATAAGCTGATCAAGTGCAAGATGCAGTGAGCTCGTATTCGCGTATCTTCCCCTAGTACTGCTGATCCGTATACTCAGGGATAATCTTGAATTTCTGCAGTGGCTCAAGCGGTTTTGGGACGCGAACTACGCCGGTGGCGCGTACGATGCTGTTGCTAGGCGGAAAGGTGCTCCGGGGGACCCGCCTCCGACGCTGGGAGGTGCGCGCACGGTGGCACCCAGTACCACCGTTCCCCGTGGAGGCGGGCGGACACCAGTCAGCGGGTATTCCTCCGGGCCGTCGAACGCAGCTGTTCAAGCACTCAACGGCCAAGTCGCGGAGCTATCGATGCAGCTTGAAGGTCTCGAGAAGGAGCGTGATTTTTATTTCGCAAAGGTACGCATCGCATTACTACTTGCACTCGCTGCATGTTACTAACGCTACATTACTTTCTGCTTTGCGTCTACAGCTGCGCGACATCGAGATCCTTGCCCAGCAACAGTTGGAGGCGCTGGAGGCCGAGGGTCATGACGACCTGACGTTGCGAGATATTCAAAAGATTCTTTATAGCACGGAGGTGCGTGCAGACATTTTCTCTGGGCCCTTGCTCGCCGCGTCCTCTCCATTCTCCTTCGTGCGCCCCCTCCCTGCCTGCGGAACTTTTATCCACTGCGTTTCATTTTCTCCGTATCCATCCTCTATTCTTTGTTTTCGTCGGCATCTACTGCTTCCTCACCGTGCTCTAAATCTCATCCGCCTCTCGCGACACCACCGAGCCACGATACCGCCATCGCCACTCAAATTTCGTACTCACTCTCCATGCAGGAAGGCTTCGAGGGTCCCGAGGGCGAAGAAGTGGTCGATGATGAAGAGACGTTCTAGATCCAGCCCGGCGGGTAAGTCCACGTCATCTGTCTTTTCTACGTTGACTGATTTCACCCTCCTCTATTCATCTGATTTCGCTTATACAGCTATACACCCTTGCCACGTTGTTCGGCGGCGGCTCGGCCATAGCTTCGCGAGATATCTCACTTCGCGCGCTTACTACCGCTCCTATTGTATGGTTTCCAGACCCCGAATATTATCGCGTAATTTGCTATCGGTTTTTTGCCCGCTCACTGAAATCTCGTTGAAATCATCGAGAATCAGTACGACCGTCTCACGTCTCTTTGGCGACATTTTTTTTAGTGGGTGCGCGTCTCACTGTAAGGCGGATTGACGCCCCTCTTGCTCGTTGACTAGGAATCCAAGGTATCGTCACCGGAAGTCATGATATTAGACGCCACGCTCAAGGGAGCGCATGCATGTCCATATCCCTTTCTTTCTTCTTGCTCATACTACTGGTCCCAGCGAGACTGGGAGCGGCGAGGCTGCAATGTAAGATACAGTATTCAACTATCTTTCCACCAGTAGACAGCAGCTCAGTTTACATAGACAAAAGTGCAATGCTTACTTGGATTTTAGCCTGGAATAAGCGGTCAGGATCCAAGTCACTGATTTATTTCGAGAGCCGCTACCAAAGTCCGGCAATTCTTCGACGAGGGAAGGCGTACACAATGATATGCAGGTAACTTGGTTCCGGAGGAAGAAAACCGACGCAGCATTCCGAGATTTTTCATCGGTCGAGGTTTTTTTGGCCGTCTGATGGCATCAAAAATCCCATCAACTCCGGCGATTTTCAATGCTTTGTCGTCTCCCCCGGTCTCCAAAAATCCTCAAAATATTTGGGTGCATAGCGGGGACTCAGTTGAGGAGATCCGTGGTACCAGAAAAGTCATACAAGTATTTCTTAAGAAGATATTTTGCGAAAATGTCAGCGCATTTTTATTCGTCGTCTCAGCCAGGAAAATGAAGTTCCTCCGCTACTTCACTCGCTCCTGGCTGGCTGCAGGATGCAAAAGAGAGGACCTTGGAAGCATTGAAAATTGAACTCAAGACCTCCCGCATGAGCGGAATAATACCTGCTAAGCGGGCGTGATAAACCAACTACACCATGCGCCCGTAGGAACCGGTTTCCAGGGTTAGACTATGATATAAAGTGAGAAAGTTCCTCGCTCATAGATATTCAATTACAGGTTCTTCTCGACTCTCTTCTTCATTACTCTCTGTCCAGCGTCTCTACTCCACAGTTGTAGGGAGTTGACCCGTATCACCGTTACCCGCAAATTATCGAACCGTACGAAATTGTCGCGCGACTCGGGGGCCGCACCCCGTGACGACGCGAGGCCGCCAGGAAGGTACAAGAGCTGAAACGAGAGAACTCAGAGCTCAGTATGAGGCTACCGAAGATCGAGATCCACACTCAACTCCATTGTGTGCGCCATTGTTGTTTGGGATACCTCAAAGTTCGCAAAATATTTTTTCAATCTCTTTCTATCACTTTCGAACGAATAACTCCATATTATCTCATGGCAATACCTCTCAACTTCGTCGAGATATGAGCGAATCGGTCGTGGGGATCAAAATCTGCCCAAAACGGCGATTTTTGCGTTCGGTATTGTAATTCCGAACCGGGGAAATTGATGGCGGCAGGACGGCATCATATCAAACTCCGCTTCCAAGAGGTAGCCGCCTTCCCCTCTGTTCTCACCCTCTCTCCACTCTCGCTCCCCGTTGCGTGACCTACCACTCCCATCACCCGAAACACTTTCACGGCCTATGCCTCCCTTCAAAAATTGAATTTAGGCTCGAGGAGAGCATGCTGCATGAGCACCTCTAGAACCTCCGTGCAGAATGGTTATGAGCCCCTTCACTCGTTGCGCATGCGTATCTCGAGGGATTCATCCTACTATTTGGTACCTAGCGATTAACGACAAAATTTACGTCGAGTTGACTCGAACTCCTGCATTGCATATGACGAAGAACCAGCAGGGCATGTCAAGTGCTTCAATAGCAACAGTGTATCGTACCACAACGGGCGGTTTGGGTTCAGATATTCGGATGGCGCGCTGCACTGAAAATCAGCACTGTGGAAAGCTCCAGCACAAGCGAAAGCGCACCTCATCCGACGATAACGTCTGCAACAAGACTGTTCCCCTCTGCAACCGAGTAATTCACAGTGATCCTCCGACCACTGGAGTTCGTGACATTGCAACTCGAATTCTGCCTCTCGCGCTGACCGTGTCGCCCGCCGCCCCCATAGTACTCTTCATTGATGGCCATGGCCGTCTGCAAGGGCGTAGGGTCGGTGACAATGTCGCACCAGCGCTTGTAGTTGTGCACCCCGAGGACGACGATAAACGGCTCGTTGGTTTTGTCTGATTTAAACCGGAGCGCTCCCGAGGTTCCGGACCCCCCGAATGCGATCGTGGGTGTGCCCTGTATGACGTTCCATTCGTTTTTGCCGTCGCCGGACCTGAAGGTAGTTTGCTCGACGATGCGGAAGTACGCGCCGTTGCTGGGGTTGGTCTGGAAGACGCGGACGGTGATGGTGTATGACATTCTTTGAGAGTCTAGACGAGAATGAGCAGGTGTTGCCCACAGGTAAGACGGCGGAGTAACGAACTGGCGGTTCCGATGAGGTGCGCTGGGAGCAGTGGCAATATGTGAGGTCTTTAAAGCCACATTCGCTGTGCCCCACGCCTAGGATTTAACTGACATGATCCACGCATCTATGCCTGTCGACGCGGAGATGATATCTCCATCAGAATCTTGAGATCATTGAGCCTGTCACCCGTACCGCGCGTGAATAGGTCCGGAGAAAGCGTGCCTCCGGTTTCGTGCAGCAATCATTATTGCGCGTGACCGAAGGTTCCTCGATAACAAATTAACGGTGTTCTGTCGCAGCGTAGACTCTACATAGTTTGAAGTCAGACCTCTCCCACGTCTCTGTGCGTGGAACCAAAGACAAATAGGGGGTTCAATTCTCAACAACGTGTGGTACAACAGTAACATCTACTCGAGAGAATTCTTATTGCACAGTTAGCGTTGGCGTCCCTCTGGACTCGAAAAAGCTCACCTCATCCAATGATAACATTGGCAACGAGGTCGTTCCCCTCCGCGACCGAGTAATTCACCTGGATCGTCCGACCCTTGCTACTCGACACGGTGCAGTGCGTAAGCTGCTTCTCGCGCTGGGAGATGCGGCTGGTGTTGGTATTGTATTCTGCATTAACAGTCGCGGCGGTCTGGGCGGTGGAAAGGTCGGTGACGATGTCGCACCACCGCTTGTTGTGCACGCCGATGGACACGACGAACTGCTCGCCACCCTTGTCCGCGAAGCGAAGGCTGCCCGATGTCCCAGAATATCCGGACTTGAAGGCAAGCCCGCCCGGTACGACGTTCCACTCGTTGGTGTTGGCGTACCGCGTCATTTGCTCGACGACACGGAAGAAGACGCCGCTCTCGGGTTTGCTCTGGAAGACGCGGACGGTGATCGTGTAGGGGTAACCCATTCTGTGTCGGCCTACAAAGGGTTGTTCAAGTATTGTGATAGGGAAGAAAATGGAGTAACGAACTGGTGGAGGTGAGGTGGGTTGGAAAGGATTGCGATCTCCAAGTTTGATTGGCGGGCGTCAAACTTTTCAGCGAAAGCGGTGGTGTCCTGGGACCTGCGGCATGAGGCCTGAGATAATAGCATGAGCCTACTGCCCGTCAGTCCTGACGGCCGTGGGACACATGCGAGTATTCCGGATCGTTCGAAGTGCATCGTGAAACGAGGCACGACCCGACCACATCGGCGTAAATGGTGCCCGATTATCGATTATGAGCTGCCATTAAATAGGTTCCGAACCATTCAACATGTCTCAAAATTCAACACGCGACACAAAAAATTGACGCTCTGCCAACATATTCGGAAACAATTGTCATGCTCATATTTTATTTGGAGTCATTTGACCGAGAAACGACCTCAAATACCCATTGGACATTATTTTTGTCCATTTAGTGTAAGCGAGACTCAGCCCCAAAGACTGCACATCCTGTGAGATACAACACATGCTGTTGAGAGTGCCGGGTTTGGCGTCAAAGTCGGCGCTTGCCAATTGGGGACAACGTCGGGCCCGATGCTTACCGAGGGCTGTGCAATTGTTTCTTGCTCCACTACCACCACCATCAGCCGCCTGCCTGCAATCTACTCTGCCGCCGACGTGGAATTCATCGATGGGCTCCCGACACGCGATGTGAAAGCTCTTCGGGACTACTGAGTTGCGCCTCGGAAGAATCTCGTTGACACCCATTTTCACAGATATGTCAAACCATACATTGCTGCGAATTCCCTTCTCTTTATCGACGCGGCATGGATCGCCTCGCGGCATTATGGTCGTTTCTCGCGGACCGGATTCCGAACGCGACATTATCGTGATTCTATCGTCTTCTCCGTCTCCACCGGAGGCACCGACTCGTGTCAAGATTACTCCACATCGACACCATTCTCCGCGTACAAAACGTGCACCGAGGATCAAGCAGAGCTCCGCATGATAAGTAGTTCATTTTGTAAATTTATCATACAAGACATACGAGATGGAATGCAGGTTATTTCGGCGGCGCGCTGTATCAAGTACAGAATCAGCGCTTTCGTCTCTCAAAGAAATCAGAAGAAAGCAAACGCTCACCTCATTGAATGTAAAGATCCGCAACGAGGTCCTTCCCCTCCGCGACGGAGTAAACACAGGAGTACTTGCTCGCGATCTGGCAACTCGAACCCTGCATCTCGCGCGCGGAGTGACGGCCGCCGCCGCCGTAGTACTCTCCGTTAATGACCATGGCCGTCTGGTTACCCGAGCCGCCGGTGACGAGGTCGCACCAGCGCTTGTAGTTGTGAACGCCGACGGTCAAGACGAACTGCTCCCCGCCCTTGGAGGAAACGAAGCGCAGGCTACCCGAGGTGCCGGACGAGGGCATCCTGAGGACCGGCGCTTCAGGGATGGGATCCCACTCGTCGTCACCCTTCCCCGTGCCGTACTCGACGACGCGCCAGTGGACGGCCTTGTTGGGGTTTGTGTGGAAGACGCGGACGAGGATTGTATATGGCCCGGACGAGCTATTGGTCTGGTTCGGGGAGGTGGTCGTTTGGCCCGGGGTTGTGGTCGTTTGGCCGGGAGTGGTCGTTTGGCCGGGAGTGGTCGTTTGGCCCCCGCTGTTCGTCTGACCCGGGGTTGTGGTCGTTTGGCCCGGAGTGGTGGTGGTCTGGCCCCCGCTGTTCGTCTGGCCCGGGGTTGTGGTCGTTTGGCCCGGAGTGGTGGTCGTTTGGCCCCCGCTGTTCGTCTGGCCCGGGGTGGTCGTCGTTTGACCCGGGGAGACAGCGGGCAAGATCACGCGAATGGCCGCGTTCGCCTTGGTGCTCGGGCCCTCGATGTCGAGGATCGTACCAGGCGGAGCGGGTTTGACATCCTTGCGGTCGATGTAGACCTCCGCCTTGCCGTCGGTGGGAACGCCATCGCGTCCAAGGATATACCGCAGGATGTTTTCGACGGTGTAAGGCGGCGCGATGAAATTAGTGTCTATGACAGATACGTTCGACTGGCTGGGCTGCAAGGGAAACTTGGACGGGGCTGGGGTTTGGCCCTTGTACAAGCGATAGTATACTGCACGGAAATGGGATTAGCGTAGGAAGCGGGCCGGGGAGCGGCCGGAGACCTACAGTTTATTACAGGATCCATTGCGAAGGCAGCGATGTCAAGTCGAGGAGAGGCGCGGTTTTCTTATGGGGTGATGACCTACCAGTGCGCGCCGGTCCTTCCTCTTTTGCCTCCCACTATGATACTAGCCTGAGAACATGCACCTTGCCACAGCCTGTCCGGTGCCGCGCACTGCCAGGTACGCCTACCATTTTGTGAGTCATGATTTTACTTAACACGACTTTTCTGACATGTCAAGACTGAAGGGAGGAATGTGTATATCCATAAGGGAACCGGCGATATGTCAACTGCTGGTACATGGATCAAGTCACATATTTCTTCAAGTCATCCAATTCCCGGCTATAAACACGTTCCCTCTTGCATTTAAACACGTTTCCTATTTTCACTGCTCCGCTACAAATATCTCGCATTCCTCGCATAGAT